AGTAGTAAACAATGATTCAAGCAAACCAAATAGTGGGGAATAACGCACAAATTAGGCGCAGGCGCAAGTTTGATTTCATTTGCTGCACATCCGCTACGAGGTCACCGACCCGGTTCTTCGATGCGCTGGGAAAATTGTTCGTTATAACTGTATACTAGATACAAGTAGATTTTCTTTTCTAAGTAGAATTTTCTATACAGAATGCATTTTAAAGACTTTCTTGAATATATTGTTAATTAAATATGGTTTTAATAACTAAAATATTACATTTTAATATATAATTGAATGAATTTAATAATTATTATTTTATGGTGATGCTTATTGTTCAGTTGGGGCAACGTTCACCATATTGTTATTATATTTTTTTGTTAATATTAAACTTAAAAAAACAATTTAAAGTTACTTTTTATTTTAAATACAGTTCCATGAAAAATACCAGTAATAATATGAATATAATTGTTTTGTAATTTATATGCAATTTTAAAACGTTTAGGTATGTTTGTCTCATAATAGGCTCTATTAACATAGCTTATAGTCGTAAATTAATTACTTATGTCATTTAAATATTCACATCGCAGTACGTAGCGAAACGACAGGGATATAGATTATTATTGTTTAAAAACAGTGTATCGGGTATAATAGCTAATAACTGATAGTTTTAACGGTCTTTAGTGCACCAAGTAGATCTGCAGCTACTCATTCTCCTCATTGAACACATACAGGCGTTTTTTAACGTGGCTGGATTTACTAGTCGGGTTTGTTGATACAAGACTGTTAATCCATATATTCTCATTTAGAATTTACACAAATTCGTTGAACCGTGATAGTGTAGAAAAGTAATAAACACACACACTTTCGCTATTTATAATATTAGTGTTAAACAGAACTAAATTGAAATGCACACGTAGAAAGTCTAAGCAATATATAAGTTTTTAAAGTAGATTATAAAAATAATTTAAGATTTGTACAGTAATATCTAAATATAAGATCATTTTGTTTAATCTTAGGTGTGCATATATGTAGTTTTATTGTAATCTTTTGAGGGTCTTTAAAAAACAAGTTGTACAATCGGGACTTGTCTGTGCGGACTGTATGTTATGTTGCGCAATATATTCGTATATATTAAATTTTCTAAATCCAAAAGGCCTCAACTGAATCAAGAAGGCTTTGAAGAGGATTCGGTCAGTGTATCATTGTGAATATACTTATAATTTACTTTGTAAGCAAATTATTTCAGTCACTTACTGCTTCGACGTTGCTTGAGCGTGCCAAGACGCGTATTACTATCGTTTTACCACTCTTTATACCATTTGCAGTAGATAGGTAGGTACCTGAAAAAAATAAAGGCGGTTAGTATTTAGACTATTAAAGAGTCATTAAAATAACGCAATGTACTTTTTACACATTTGTTGTTTCTCAAATCCTACTAATATTATATGTAAACGCGAAAGTTTGTAAGAATGTATGTATGGATGTATGTTTGTTACTCTTTCACGCCAGAACGGCTGTATGGGTCCGGATGAAATTTGGCACAGAGATAGATTATAGTTGGAATAACACATAGGCTACATCTTATCCCGGAAAAATATACGGTTCGTGAGGGATAGATTTGTTTATTTGTTTTTCTAGCCGCTAGTTCCTTATAAGTTAGTACTACGCACACACAAATTTGTTTAATGCAACCTCTGGCGATGTACACACGTACTGGTACCGTACACGGTACTGGTTGGATGTAAATAAAATTCCATAAGAATTTTTAAATAAAACTATCTTTTCGGATTATTTCGCGGATTTATTTTGATTTTTGGTTCCCGACGTTTCGAATGCTTTACAGCATCCATGGTCACGGGAGAGGAGAGATGCTGTAAAGCATTCGAAACGTCGGGCACCAAAAATCTAAATAAATCCGCGAAATAATCCGAAAAGATAGTTTTATTTAAAAATGTCAAACATTCGCGTAAATCTAAAAAAGTATTATTCCATAAGAATATTCAAATTTCAAACCCAATATCAATGATTCTTAATTCTATTGTAGAAAGTTGAAGTTTTGTCGAGTGAAAGCGATATTTATATTGGCTTAATGAATTAATACAATTTTGGTGAGTGACATAAAATGTTCACAATCTAAATATCTTTCATAAAATATCTTTCTCGTAAAAACAACAATACCAACGAAAAATTTTTTTTGCAATGGAAGAAGACCTGTATACAAATTACATAATGTTTATATTATTATGAATAATTTTATATACATGTTTTTGTTAAAGAATCTAGTACTTCTGAAATTAATAATACTTAATTAATTTTATGCTTGGTTAGTGCCTACTAATAATATTTTCCTACTTCTTTTTCAGGCGCTCAGTAAGAATAAAGTAATAATATTCTCGTCAGAGGTCTGACGCTATACATACAATAAAATTCTGAGTCGATTCTGTACATTAAACATTTTTGAAAATTTTATTAAAATAGTCATTATTATCAATGCTAAGGCCGAATCTATAGTTTTTTAGAATTTTTGTTTATCTGTTTTGCTGGGAACGCATCACGAAAAAACACTGGACAGATTTTGATAAAATTGTGTATGATGATAGCTGCGTATCCGGGTCAACATATAGGATAATTTTTACTGCGGGAAAATATCTCATACTACTGTTAAAATGTTCCTAGAAACGTACCCGAGCGGAGCGAGGATAAGGCGCCGGTGTATAGTATAATAAGCTTCAAACTAAATTTTATTCAAATGAAATCCTATATAAAAAGATTGCAGTAAGATCCTATCTATCTAGCTTTTATCTTATACGTCTATATTCTCACCATAACCTAAAAATAAAAATATATTTACTTTGTGATTTACTTTCAATATTAAGATAGATGTAACAAAATGCCATATTGATAAAAATCAATGAAGCTATCCTACCATACCTGGGACCTATCATAGTGTAGACATACTTTTACATGTCCTCATACACGGTACATCACACCTTTACCTTTCTTCTGGGCAATAAAAACGCTATTGCAATAGAGAACAAATAGTCCCCGTTCGCCACTTATACTAACTTATACTAACTAGTCTAACTATAAATAAACTGGAAGTGTCCGAAGGCAGGAATGACAATAATGGAAAATTTTGATAAAGTATTGATGGACCGAGGGGCGAGGAGACCTTTGATAAAGTATTTAATAGAATACTTTATGTATTTACTAAACCGGTGCCAAATAAGCTTATAGTGATGATTTAAAGCTTTTGGCCACATGTTGTAATTATCAAACAAGAACATTGCCATCGGTGTTCAATGTAGGCAGGTATGCCATGTGAAAAGGTCAAAAGAATTTGTAATTACTATTTATTTCGTGTATATTGAAATAAATGAGGATGAAAGATAAAAGTTAGTGAATGAATATTATGCATATTTATAACATTTTCGAAATTTGATGCTTTATTCTATATTATCCCGTTCATATATAATATGAATCAAAGTCGATATTACTGAGTTTCTATGTACTCGTTTAAGCTTCATAATTTACGTGATTATTAAAATCCTTCAACGCACCCAAGTAACTTTTTGATCAGACTAAATATAAAAGACAAAAATAGACGCAATAATGCCATTACCGGTACCCAACGTCTAATGTCTATGGTCTATAAATAGAAAAAATAATAAAGAAACCACGAAGTATTCGGTTTAATATTTTTATATTATTAAGTGTAAGTATATTTTAAAGCGCGTGTAGCGAAGAACACGTAACGAGGTGAGGTGCCGCCGCCGGTTAGTACTGAGAATTATATCAAAGCGTTTTTGTTTTACTGTCTGTACACTCTATAATAATGAGACACAGAGTCAGGCGGCGGAACCTCTAGACAAATTGCATAGTTTAAAAAATCTTCAGCCCTTTTCCATATAAACTACGGAATATTCTGTACAATTTTGTTCCAAATATTGTTATCTACCTCTTACCCTTTTTTAAATTACTAAAAAATTGAATTATTATTTTTAACCTGGTTTCATTCGGTATATTTTATTAGTTACACGCGATAGTAATAAGCAATTAACCTCGTTAGTTTTAAGATTTACAAAAATAGTCAATGGTCGTTATTTATAAAAAAATTTGCTCCAAAAATTTTAGGTAAAAGAATTTAGTTTCTCGTCCATTTTAAATAACGTACTTCGTAACACATAATATTTAGTGCTATTTTTCTATCCTCGAGGGTTGATAACTATTTAACTGTCATAGGTAGTTAGTAGTAGATTCAAAATACTTCTAACTATAGTGTAGTACCTACAATAAAAATAACAATTTTAAAGTGTAATTGTGTGTATAAGTGGCATCTTTATAATCATTCTGCTGGGTCTGATATGGATTGTGTCACAGATCATGTACTACATACGAATAATACTGTACTAGTGTTGTGTGTTAGATTCCTAACATTTAAATACTAAAGTTATGCTAAATTTAGGTCAAGCGATGCGAAGCCATAAGACGTAGAACGGTCAATAAAATATATATATTTAAAAGTGCTTATTACTCGCCATTTCAACCAAGTCAAATTCACAGCTTTTTAGGAAATGAATATTTTAATGTATCATAGAGTGAAAGAATCGTTGTAGGCACACTTGACACCACACAGCATTCAAATCTTAAGGCAGTGGTAGCCCAGTGGTAACGCGCTCGCTTGGGAACCCGAGTGAAGCGAGTTCAAATCCTGGGTCTCGCACCTCTGATGTTTTCATGTGCGAATCATTTCCAACATGATTACCACTTGCCTGAGGGTGAATGAAAACATCGTGAAGAAACCTGCATGTTTGAGAGAACCTAGCAAGTTTTCGAAAGACATGACACTTCACATTGTGAATTCCTCCGACCCGCACCTGGCCAGTATAAAATATGTAGTCTACTGCGAGTAGTAACTACTTAAAAAAAGTTATCTTTTCAAATTAGCGTTTTCATTCCGACCGCATTTACATATTTTTTTTATTAAGGAATAGTAGCACATAAAAATAATGGCGGTCAAGTACAATTGCTTGCTTGCAGAGCTGGTTAGTGTAGCGCGGTTATTGCGGGGCGCCGTGCCGTTAGAGCCCACTACACACGGGTTTGTGTAACAGGAAACTATCTTACAGGATATGTAATGTATACTAATAAAGGATTTAGTATATAGGTTACTAGGTGTAAGTAAATTACTCACATTTTCTCATCTTGAATACTTTTTAGTCTTACATAAGTTCGTGATTGAAACTTTTGACATACATAATATTAATCCCTCGACGACCGCGAACACGCCGGCGTTCCAGTTAACAATAGATTTCTTAGAAATTTATTTAATTTCTTAGAAATTTACCTACCTGGAGGTGCTATGTTATTTAAAATTTTTGATTTAATTTCTGCTGAGCATACTTTTCATATTTAGAATGACCATTTTATTTGACTAAAAGAAATAATAAAATTCGGCACAAATATATTGTATAGGTAACCGTAGCTTCGGCATCACCAGGATCCTGCCAGTGACGATAACCGACAGATTAATTATTATTATAATAATTAATATATAGGTACTTAGTTCTTAATCAACTTTGACGCTGATCTTGAATTTTAAGTTAAAAAAATTTTAGGTTAGTACATCTACAATTCATTTTTTTATTTAAACAACAATACTTCATCATCATCTCCCTGCCCATTTCCTAAATTATTTGGGGTCCTTGCCACGGTAATGTTATATGTAACACTAGCGGATCCGACAGACCTTGTCCTGTCTACACGCCTTTAATTTGAAAATTTCAAACTTTTTTTAATATTTTTTTTGATGAAAATTATTATTCAAATTGTGAATCTAAACCATTCCCAGATCCCCTTGAACACACACAAAAAATTTCATCAAAATCAGTCCAGTCGTTTGAGAGAAGTTCAGTGACATACACACTCACAGAAGAATTATATATATAAAGATTACCGTGTCCTTACTTAAAAAAAACGTGTGTGTGTACTTATGGTACGCACGTAACAAGTTATACTTTTGGCGTGACAGAATAAAAATTTCATTCCGTATGTCACAACTCTCTGTTTTTAAAAGGAATGATAAATTAATAGAATAATTAAATAATGCATATTAGAATCATATTTGTAGGCACATAAAGAACATGATTTAATGAAAGAATATGCCTAATACCTATATCATTTGTTATCAGCTAACTTCATCATATCGCTTTTTGGCTGTCGGTATGCGCGCGCATCGTGAAAATTTTACTCTTATATTATTTCCAAACGTCCCAAAAGAAGTATAGCTTCAAAAACGATTGTTTAATAACATTTAACGCCCTAACATTAGTATAGAAGTCAAGTAAGTGGAAGTCCACTTATTTGACTTCAATACCTGCACGTAATACATACACAATACTGTATACATGCTGTATACAGTACATGCTTTTTATGCAGGTAAATATAGTCGCCCCGCGCCGGGAAAAGACTGGAGCAGTGGACTGGCCCGTTACCACGGTACCGCGGCCGCCGGCAGTCCGGCAGTCGGGCAGGGGCACCGGTGGCTTGCCCACAGCATTCACGCGATCCATCGCCTCGTTATCAAGCATCACCATTACGCACAGAGCTATAACGGTTCGAGATATATTACATTACTTTAATAACAATAGACACCTACTGTGTGTTTAAGACATTTTTGTTTCTTCTATCTAAATAAATACACCACTAAAGTAAGAGGTAGATGTCGAAGATACGTAACATCGTCAATTTTTTTATTAGCATTAATTAGTCAATTCATAATAGAAGAAATGAAACTTCGAACTAAAAGAATTCGAAAGGTTCAGTGCACAAAGGAACACGTTGAAGGCAAATTAAAGCAAACATACATACATAATATGTACATGTCACATGATTTAACAATGAGTGCCATACAAAGATTATTACCAACTATAAGTAAGCATTTTGATCAAGTAGGTAGTATCAAACTGATGGAAATTAGACCACATAATATTGAACATAATAAATAAAATAATAATATGTAAATAAAATAATATTCATTATATTTCTCTCGTAGCTTTGACTGATCAATTAGAATGCCAAAATAGTATTTTAAATATTTTAATTAGAACTGTGATATTAATAATACATACATAGTTTTTCATATTTATAAATAACTAGCAGAATCCGCGGCTTTGCTCGCGCTAAAACTACAAAAAAATCTCTACAAAGGTAGGTTTTATACAAACTTTCATCCCCTATTTTACCCTTTATGGGATATTTTTTAATGGTTATTTTTTTATTTTGTATTTGATTTTTTAAACATATTTATTCTTCTCATCACGCATAATAGTTTTTTGATTAAATTATGAGTATTTTACTAACGTAACATCCATTAGAATGTTTGGCGCGAATCACATTCCAGGTAATTGAGTTTATATAATTTATATGGGAGATACTCAATAATAAATAAAGTAATGACAAATGCTCACGTCCATAGAGAATGTGCAAATACTGCGATCGAGTATCTGATAGTGTGTATCTGAAGACAGCGCCCCCACTCGCTTGTGTTCGCACGAATGCGGACATTTGTCTCTGTCCGGTTGATGCTGATATGTTCTGTACGTTATACTATTTATTATATATACGTTGGGTTAATGTAGCGAACATTATTTTTTATGTTTTGTTCATGAAAATAATGTACATAGTACACAATCGGAATGACTTCCAAATATCAGTAACAATATTCGATGTTTGTTGTGCTACCAGATTGAAAGTTAAATAACGGCGCGGACTTGAAATGAAAATCATACTTTAATTTTATTATTTACGGAATGTTTAATAAAATATCGCTCTCAAAAGCTTTATAGCGTCGTTGTGAAGGCAATGGCTGTGTACTTTTACGACCTTTGGGTAGATGCAATATAATTTAACTTATAATTAATGTGCTAAGATGTTTTCCACACTAAATACTAATACGTATTTTCTTTCTATTTGGTAATATTGAATGATAAATAACTATGTAGAGAAATCATATGTAATGATTTGAATAATATAAATTCAATGTTTAACTAATCTTTTTGCCCAAAAGCCGAAGCTCTAATCCCCTTAACCACACATGGCGCACTATCAGTGAGGGTCGTTTGTGTAAAAGCAGCGTACTTTATAAAAAAGTTATGATTTGCTTGAAAACTATTTTTTACTTAAAATCGTTTATATTTGGTTAGAGATTAGTATAGCGTTAGAGAAATGTATTAATTAACGTTAAAATTATTTCAATTTATTAATGCCTTAAATTATACAAAATGTTTTATAGGTTCTATATTTAAAAAAGTAACAGTGACGCAAGACCACAAAACTTATTTATTTATATTTATTATTATTTCAACTAAAATGCATTACAGTGTGGACAAGCTGAGCGTAGAATTTAATATTTAAACGTCATAGTAGGTACTGCGTAAGTACGTAAGTAGAACCAAGTGATGCATTTTATCTCTACTCGGCAGAAGCTGAAGTAACAATAAGTACGTACATTTCTTTGTATTAGCAGATTTAACAAAAGGAAAGTCTACGGTAAATGTTTAAACTTGTTTAAACTCACTCTACGTAGAGCGCTCTCGAAACCATTAGTGCTATGAAATTAATTCATTTAAAGTAAACTACACAGTACGTTTAATTTATTAGTACTCGTGGAATCGTTTCAATTGAATAAACTTATTTATTAAATCAATACCTACCATTTCCGAAGTACATTTCTATATGACGAAACGTTTGGCTCAGTTTGTTAACCGACTTCCAATTCCAAAAAGGAGGAGGTTCTCAATTCGTCGGAATCTTTTTTTTATGTATGTTCACCGATTACTCGAAGACGCTTGAACCGATTTGAAAATATATATACTTCCCAGGTGGTCTCATATGAATTTTATCGAAACCGGTCGAGCGGTTTTTAAAAAAATTAACAAAAAATTTTTTTTAAATAAATTGTTTAATCGAATATGTCATTAAAAACTTTCTTCTTACAAATTACCTGCTTATTACGTCTACACTAAAAATGAAAAAATAAAAACTTTTTAAGAAAAAATCAAAACCGACTTCCAGGCACTAAAATGTAAAAAATAACTAAACGGAAGTTTTCATTTAGAATAGATACCTAATCAGATATTTTCGAAGTCGGTGCCAGCCGTCAATATTTTAAGATATGAATATCTAATAGATAAATAATATGTAATTTATGTATCGAAATATATTAGATTTGCTTTGCATCGGCTGGCACCGATTTCGAAAATATCTCTAAATGTTTAGTTATTATAACAGAGAAACAAAAGTACAAAAAATTTGAAAAAAATCTGGATTTGTTCTATTTCTTTTCTTACATCCCCGTGACTCAGTTCTTAGCATTTTTTTTATATGTACAGACATTCGACCTCTACACTTTTATTATATGTATAGATAATATAGTCAAGGCAACCTGCTTAAGGATCTGTTCATTCTTCCACTAAAGCGGTATTAATAGAAAAAAAAATCCTTCAGAAATACGCAAATTTGAGAAAACTCACACTATCTTGCATAACGGCAATCAGCAGTCAGCACGACACGCGACATGAAATTGGGTCGGATATAACTTTTTATAATATGTGAGCACGATTCCCGTCGGGGACTTTCATTCCTCCCGAAATGTTCTTTCTTTTTTGGCTCTATTTCGTAGTATTAATTTTTATTAGTTTTCCGTAAGTATGTCACATTTCTGTAGTTTTGTTTTCAAAATATTGTTTTTATTGAAGTAAGCCCTTCACGGTTTTGTTATCTAAATTACTATTAATATATTAGCCATTTTAATATTGTCAAGTAAGTTTGGAGATAAAGCACACACTATATCATGTATTAGAGTTGAGACAGTTAACAGCTTAATATAGTAAAAATTTGCTACAAAAGAAGAATAAAATGATCGATCACGTCTTCTTTCCCTTAGGGATATAATCTAATGTTAGGGCTGGCTTAGCTTTATTGTTTTTCTTTCAAAATGACGACATTATTTTAAACCTCTATATACTTATAAAATATTACGGATAAGTGCGGGTCGGACTCGCCCACCACCGAGGGTTCCGTACAACATTTGTAGGAAATCTGTTTAACTATAATTTTCAACTGTTTAATATTTTGGAATTTTTCCTTTATTTATACTGTCAGATCTAGTTTTTTGCCAAATTTCGTGCTTTTTGGTCAACGGGAACTGCCATATAGGTTATCGACCCAAAACCTATAGGGTACTTCCGGTTTACCTAGAATTGTCAATTTTGGTTAAAAGGCCTTACAGCACAGCACAAGTAAAGGGAAAATTCCGAAAAATAAAAAAAGTTGAAAATTAAGGTCAATTTTGGTACTTACAAGTTTTCGCAAAAATCTAAATTTGCCTATATCTTTTTACAAGATACAATACAAGGTTAGGACAGGACAGGGGAGTGATCTTATAAGGGTTCCTTTTTTACCATTTGAGGTACGGAACCCTAAAAATAAAGGACAAACTACATACTTACGCATGAATATATATGTTTTACACTTAATTTACTTTTATTTATAATACTTTATATTATAAAGAGGTAAAGCTTGCAAGTTAGTAAGTTTGGATGCAGGTAATCTCTGAAACTACTGATCCGATTCACTTGTATTTTTAAAATCTTTATGGCATGTAAATATTCTTCACACTTACATACATCAAAAGCTAAAAGGTTCATTCGAATTTCCTTGTGTATATCTCTGATGTGCAAATCCGTCCACCATTACCTACCGTAGCGCCAGTGAGTGGATAAAGGAATCCTTGGACGACGGCCAGTGAATACATTACCCGTATACAAGCTATAAAAATATTTACGTACAAAATCGCAATATTGAGCTTTTACCATTACAAAACCTTAAGATATTCCAAAATCATTTGAAGCTTCGCTAACTATAAAACGTAAGCTTGTAATTGCCTTATATAACATATCTACCTAATTGTTTATATACATATTTATATACACAATATATATCCTTTACCACAGAGTTTCGTCGGGAAGAAAAATAGGTTCAAATAAATACTTATTTATGGCATAATATGTAATTTACAATCCCTTAATATCGAATGTTCTTCAAAGAACGCTGAACGCATAGAAACCGGATAGCTATAATCTGATATGCAAGCTTGTTTACTGCGGGTCAGTAGGCCGCGCGGATACAAGAGAAACCAGTCTATAAATACTAACTTATTATGTTTTAGAAACTAGAGTTTCTCCTAAACTGGCCTTTCACCAAAATATATCAAAATAAATAAGACGATGTAGGTATTAAGTCGATCTATTGTACTGTGCATAGGCAAGGGTTGATTTTGTTACATCGTAGAAAGTACCTACACTTACATGATACATGAGTTATAATAAAATGGAACAAATATATCTTCCCACGCTACATCAATCGTTTATGCAGTAAGACTTGTAAATTCGTAATCAATCAGCTAGTCTTGATGTGTGTATAATATATACATACATATATTATACATGAAATTAAAATGGTGGCTTTTACTTAGCTCATCTATTTCATCAAAAAATCATGTGAATGCGTATATCTGTTTATCTATCTCTTTTGGCACAAATCTCATTTTGCGGAATTATAGATAGGTATATCTATCTATGCGCCGCACAGGGGCATTGATACCG